TGTTGATGATAAAGAGGGCGATGACGATGACGACGATGGCGACTATTCTGGGAATGCTGGTGGTGATGGCGACGGTGATGGAGATGTGGGCGGGAAAGGCGGTGACTCTGATACGACCGGGAAATCCACAACTGGATATAATAATGATATGGAGCCTGAAGATGAGGAGGATGCGTTGGAGAGGGAGATGTTGGCTGCTTTTGAAGATGCGGGTTGGGAAGAGGAAGGGAAGGAGAAGGAAGAAAGAAGGTTGGATGTTGAGGAGTAGCAGGGTTATGGAAATGGTTTCTTGGGGATGTGTGTGTCTGCATGTGTGGTTTGTCCAATTGAAACTCCCACCTTCATCATTCCCATGAAAAATATATACCCAACGTCATCAGGAGAGCTTTTCCTGTCGAAGTCGTCCATTCCCCCATCCCCGCCGGCGCAACACTGCAGCAGCAGCAGCAGCAGGTTCCCACCGTCTCTGCATCAGGCTTCCCAAGCACGCTTTTTCTCCGTGTTCTTATTTCTTTCAAAGTACATCTTTCACCCTATCTATCCGCATAGCGTGGCGTTATCATCTTTTACTCCCTGCCTGTTTTCCTCTCCCGAGTCCAACCCCGACTACCTCATCTCATCATTTTGCGGCGCCATTACGTCAGGAAATTCATCCAACATGGTCCGGTTTTTGCTTGCAGGTTGAATGATCCATCATCGAGCTTTCTGCTGTATGTTGTCTCTAATGCTTCCGCTCGAGGCGTCCGTCATATTTTCTCTTGTTGGGATCCCTTTGCTTCCATAGGGTGGTGGTTTTATGATCTTTCGTTCCCATCTTTTTTTTTTTTTCTCTTCCCCAGTTTTCTTTGAAATATGGATGCACTTCGTCATCATCTCTTGCTTCTACGCTTGTTTCCCTTATATAGGCACTGATTATACCTGGGTGCTGTTTTTGTTAAGGACGGTGGTTAGTTGGCTTTTACGCTATAGGAAGGCTATTTTAGATTTTTGTGCTGTTTTACTGGATTATGTAAATCGTTTTCAGGGGTAATGTGGTCATTGTACCAGGGGTTCTTTTTAAAACCTTTGCCTCAACTTCAATCTACTGAATTCTTCTCGAAATCTTAAGCTAATCCACCCATGTTTACTTACCATTTCTTTTGGTTACTTATTTTCGATCCTCGTTTTCCGCTATTTGTATAATGAGCTTTCTTCCTCTTGCGATGAGTAATGATAATGGTTATCATATTTACATTCAAGAGTTTCCATTCATGCCAATACGCAGGGCAGATTCTATTAGGAGTATAATTTCATTGAACCTCTATTTGAATTGGTAAAACACAAGGGCGAATGGAAGCGTGTTAGTACAGCTCTGTAGTGGTAGTAAATCAACAAAGATCGGGATGCCCCTTTCACATTATGGTTTGTTTGTCATCCTTCTTTTCCTTCTGTTCATTTCATTGCTAGCAGTTGTAGATAAAAGAGCGAAAAAAAAAAAAAAAAAGGGAACAAGATGCCAGGAAACAACAAGTTAACTAAAAAGGTATATGCAATGTTCAACACAAGTGCATTAACTCCCCAAGTGAACATGGGTCGATTCTTTTTAGCGGTAGAAGTCGAATCTGTTGGTGATGAGTGTTAGCAAGAATATAATTTATCACAATGGGGCGTTAATAGTAATATCAAATACAAGAAGGTAACGTACTTATCAGCATCCTGGGCTCCCTTGACCTGGCTTGAGTAAGCATCTTCCAAGTCCGACTGGATGATATTGTATCTGTTCTTGCGAACTGCCCGCAGACCGGCCTCCTGCATGATAGCCGCAATAACAGCGCCAGACAGCGGATCATTCCGCACGATCAGAGAGTCCAGATCCACCTCAGGCGACAGAGACATTTTGGACGCGATGGTGCTGAAGATCAACCGGCGCTCCCGTCTGTCGCGGAGAGACGGAAACTCAATCTTACGATCAAGACGACCGGGGCGCAGAAGAGCAGGATCGAGCGTGTCAGCACGGTTGGTCGCCATGATGACTTTTACGTTGCTTGTCTGGTCGAAGCCGTCCATTTGATTTAGCAGTTCAAGCAGGATGCGCTGCACCTCGCGGTCTGCGCCGGTTTGAGCGTCAAATCGCTTTGTGGCAATAGCGTCGATTTCGTCGATGAAGATGATGGCTGGTGAGTTCTCGCGGGCCATGCGGAACACGTCGCGGACCATTCGAGGGCCTTCGCCTAGGTACTTTTGGACAAATTCGGAGCCGACAACGCGGATGAAGTTGGCTGTTGTGCTGTTGGCTACTGCTTTAACAAGCATGGTTTTACCAGTTCCAGGGGGTCCATATAGCAGTACACCGCGGGGAGGATCGATCCCTGTGCACGAATTTATCTAGTTAGCTACTAAAAAGGAATAAATTAGGTAAATGGTAGCGCATTTGACAGCATACCGATTTGCTTGTATAAATCGAACTGCGTTAGTGGTAGTTCCACGGCTTCTCTAATTTCTTGCTTCTGCATATCGAGCCCTCCTACATCTGCATATGTGACATCTGGCTTCTCATCGACACCAAGCATGGCAATAGAAGAATCAGCTTCAGGTGGAAGTATGTCAACAAGGGAATTCGAATGTCGATGTAGGGCGACAGATGAGGATGGCTTCAACAGTTCGCGATCGAGAGTAGATAGGATCCGGACGACATAATTTGAGCCTGTTGATGACTGTACGATACCAGTGCTATTAAAAGAAAACACACATTTAACGATTAGTATCTCTGGAATATAAATTAACGGTCTGGAATTGCAGTTTGGCGCCATACTTTTGGTCTATGGCCTCCATGAACTGGCCGATGACCAGAGGAACACTTTGTATCCGCTTGATCTCTTCTTGAGCTCGAACAAGTTCGCGCTTCAAACTCCTTGAGTAAAATAAAATATTAAGCGTTAAGATCATATTTCTTCCCCCCGGCCTTCTAAAGGTCCCCATACCTCTGCTCATCCTTGATGTATTCCTCTTGGAGATTTATGTATCTGCACAATAGAGTCAGTCAGCACGTGGCAACAGGGCAAAACATAAGCCAACTTTTCACATACTCTAGATGCCGTTGTAATCTCTTGAGGGTGGCATAGTCATCGCCATCATCATTTCCAATACCTTCCAGAGAATCGATATTCGGAATAGCATCTGCTGGCGTAGACTTTCTGTAAGGCGGCACAGGCGATGCTGGATTCTCGACCACGACGTCTCCCATGGCTGTTGTTTCTGGATGAAGGAACTGGGTAAACTCGAACCGGGAAATACGAAGATCTGCAGTCTGGAAAAGCTTCAACTAAGAAACTCGCGAGGAGAATGAGAATGGTCGGCGTATGGGTATCTGAGGTGTTCAGAATGTTCATTGAGCTCAACAGCGGATGAATGCCAAGGCATATCACGTGGGTGCAGTGATGCCGTTGAAAACTCCCAAACCATTTTGCATCAAAATCTTCCACCCCCAACTCGAGGTCAAAGAAGATATATTATTTCATCAGTGTTTTATTCTTTGATATAGAAAAGGGCAGAATACATTGGGTATCCTGGCCGTATTTCAAATGAAATTGGTTCTTGAAGCGTGAAATATTTTCTTTCTAATAAATCAAATATCAAGATGCACCATTTATCGAGAATCTGGGTTCCAAAGCACCTGGTAGTTGACTGACACGTCGGATCTCCTACACTCATAACCACAAAACCATGTATATATACTCATAATACCCAGCAGGAGTGTCGTTGCTCTTTAAAACTTGACTCTTAAACATTCTCTGGGTACTAAATCCAAGATAAATGAAACCTCAACCACGATGAGAGCTCTGGTAACTATTGGTGCATGTTACCTCGACACTATCCTAACGTGAGGTCTATCTATGATATTTAACTAGAACACGGTGAACCAGTGTGCCAATGTCATCTACTAACAAGCCCTTCTACCCATACAGCGTCGACCACTACCCAGGAGAAGACGAAAAGCTACGTGCATCCAGCATCTCGCGACGGCGGGGCGGAAACACCCTTAACACGCTTGAAGTTCTCCAACAACTCCTTGAAAGCAGATCACAAAATGCCCAGGCTGCCGAAGGCGATGGACATACCAACATCAATGGTGATAATAGTCGAAACGATGTTGACAACACTCCCCCTCTCTATGCCGTTGCAGTGCTGCCAGCAAAATCATCTCCCGCAATCAGGGAAATAAAAGCATCCTTTGGTCCAGATGTTGACCTCCAGCACCTCATATACCGAGAAGAGTGCAGCGAGCCAGCATCCAGCTACATCATCAAGAGTACTTCGACAGGCACTAGGACTATAGTCAACTACAACGAGTTGCCGGAGATGACTGTGGCTGAATTTGTGCGGATTGCGGAGAGTTTGTCTACCGCAACTACACCCCCCGGCCGTCCTAGATGGTTTCATTTTGAGGTAAGCTTTGTTTTCCAAAAAAGTAATGAAGTTTGTCCATTTACATTAAACGTTACACCTTTTACATTTGTATGTATATTCATCCCCTTCTCTCTAGGGCCGCATACCAGATGTCACACTGGAATGCATACGATACATCCGTCAAAAGTTCCCAGCCGACAAAGTCAGCGTGGAAGTCGAGAAGCCTGGGCGCTCAGGTCTTCAGGAGCTAGCTGCTGTGGCAGATGTGGTTTTTTATTCCAAAACATGGGCGCAGGTAACCTTTTTACATATATATGTATCTATGAATGTTGGCTTGTCCACTGACATCTGTCCGGATTTCCAAGGCAAATGGTTACCAATCGCCGTCGGATTTTCTTCAATGGCAGGCCCCCTTAACACCCGAAGCGTATGAGTTCTCCGTCCAATCATTTCCCCTAAATTACTTAGACGGAGACAAACAGCTGACCGATATGCTTTTTCGTCCTCTAGGTCAATTCTGTGCTGCACATGGGGCGACCGGGGCGCCGCATGCCTTGACACGCGCAGCATGTCATACATCCATTGCCCAGCATATATAGATCTGCGAAGTCCAGTCGTCGTCGAGTGCGTTTTGACACAAAATTGCCCATTTTTTCCTACCCTATTTATTTATATGAAATAGTGCATGCATCCCAGTACTTTGTCTTCCTTCTCTTATTAATTGCTAACTTTTAACAAAACTCCATGACAGTACGATCGGGGCTGGCGACACGTTTATTGCGGGAATGCTGTACGGTTTGATCTATCATGGCGACGACAGTGACTTCAGTCTTCAGCTGATACTCGATTTTGCGAACCGCCTTGCCGCGTACAAGGTCATGCAGGAAGGGTTTGAAGGGCTGGGTGAAGCTGTGGCGAAGAGCTTGTAGACGCAAATGGAATATCAAATGTAGATAGAACAATACAATCATCCCATTCATTTTTAAAATAACCACACCACAGCTTTTCCTATCTCCCATCCCTGAGCCCATTTTTAATTAAGCTGATGAAAAATAGAAATTATTTTGATACTTTTATATACCCTATACCGGTTTCCACTGTCCAATACCATCATAGCTATTTGTCATATGAAGAGTGTAAGTATTAACAAACCATTGAGAAACAGGGCTTAGAAAGCAAGGCAGAGCCCCTGAAAGGCTTTCGTACCATGGATTCACAATGGCTGGAATTGGGAAAAGAGTTTCCCGTCCAGATGCACGCAAGCGTATTCCGTATTCCGCACAACGGTAGATTTATAGATACGGCAGATCAGACCACCAAACCCCCTCCTTGCCCCAACCGTGGCATATAATTTCGAACACAGACGATAATTTTGTGATCTCGAACAATAGCTAACCACCTGGGAGTAAGGCTTTTATAAGCATATGAAAATGAGCCAGAGCGGGGTGGTAAAGATAGACAGTCTGCCTGCCATTTGACGTATTATCTTAATGATATAAACTACTCCTTGGGTTAGGAAAATGCCCATATCCCGGCCCAGGCTATGGGTGCAAGAAGCCATGGACTGTAATATAATCTTATTTCTTTGAATTGGATTCTAGATTCTTCGTGAAGATTTAAAAAAAAGAAAAAAAAATCGCTCTCCAGCCTCGAGGGATCATGAGGCACATGACTTGCTGACAATAGAAAATGGAAAGGCGGGGAGAGTCCTGAGCGCATTAGAGATACACCGGGTGGACAGAGTCGAGATTATATGTCTATGGAAAGGACGGAGAGCTGTGCTTTTGTCTAACAACATCATCCCCTTGGCTATGGAGACTGAGTTAACTAGATGGATGTCGCGGGATTTTTATGTTTATTCGTTTCTATCCATCCAATCTCATGTCGCGGAATGAGTAAGACACAAGATACGAGACCGTAGGGAAAAAAAATGACTCAAGGGGGAAGACGAAACAACAAATAAAAATAAAAAACAAAAATTAAAAAAAAAAAAAAAAAAAAAAAAGGCAAACGGGTGGGGGACGCCGTCGGCAGATGCTTGGTTTCGATAAAGAATTGCCCTATTTATACAGATACATAACAGAAGGAAGAGGAAATACATATCCCGTAACTAACGAAAAGGATAAAAATATTTTCAAGGGATCCAATGGATAGATCCACAGGATGTAAAGTGAGCCTGGTAGTCAGAAGTAATAAATAATCATTGGGGGATGGATGCGAGAGAGGGCGGGCGAGGCAGCGCAAGTGGCCAGTGCTGACTTCGGAGCAAAAAAAACTATGTTGAATAGCTCGTTATTTGATGGTTAAAATATATATATTTTCCGTCGTCCATCCATTGTTTTCTTTCTTTCTGAAAGTTCTTTTTTTATAAGTGTAGGATGCCTTTGTTCTTTCATTTTTTTCATGTTTCTTTTACTTAATTTTATTTTCTTTCCCCGTCTCTCGTTTTGTCTCATTCTCCCTGTGTTTCTTTCTTTCCCATCCGTAATGTATCTATCTCCTGTTCATTTCCAAGGAGAGCGACTGAATAGGCCTTGGTCAGCTCGCCCTCTTTGTGACCCTTTCCCTCCCCAACCCCCCATCATTTCTACGCCTTGCTATTCCCACTGACTCGTCTATCATCGTTCCTTGATTCCTGTTCATTTTCTATGGCCATGGCATGAAAGCAAAACTCGAGTCTAGAGTCTGGAGTCTGGAGCCTGGAGTTCACTGGGATGCATGCCCTCGCCTACCGAAACCCCCCCCCCCAGGCACCGTAGTTATCCTTGATATCAGACGCTCACCATTATGATTTAATCAATTAGAAGTTGCAGCTGGATTTTTTCTTTCTTCATCTTTCTTTCTTGTCCTTCCATCTTCTTCTTCCTTTGCTTCTCTTTCTTCTTCATTCTCCATCATCTTCTCCCTCCTCCTCCTCCTCCGTCAATGCTGGGTCTGATGGGTCTAACTGACATAAATAAAGACATATAAGACGACTCAACTAACCTACCTCACTAACTGCTGAGCCCTGCTGACCATTCTTCCAAGCTACCTAACCCACCCTGCAGAGCTAACTACATGTTTCTATTTTGCATTCGGAAAACAACTATTTCATGATCGAGAGTAGAAGCCCGGGGGAAAACGTTCGTCGAAGAAGGGGGAGCAAGCCTTGATCTTTTTTATGCACAAGCGGCTAGGAGTGGGGAGCCGCCAAGATCCTTTAGCATAATGATGGATGGACAAAAGGGCGGCGGCACTAACTGAACATGAGAGAGAGAAAAGAGGTTTTGGCGGAGAAAGGGCCAGAAGAAAAAAGGCAAATGCTGGCGGAATTGGTACCAAACTTCCCCCCGGCCGCGGCTTACAGAGGATGGATTCCAGCGGCGATGGCGCCAAACCAGAAGGGGTCTAGCGGGAAACTTGGGCGGACTGGGTTGGCTGGAATGGAGAATAACAACAACAGAGCGACCAGGTGAGTGGCCGTGGCGCCGTTGGGCCAATGGAGAGGGGAGGCGTGGGCCACGGGCCACGGGCCACGGACCACGGGCCACGGACCACGGGCGACGGGCGACGGGCGCCCCCTCCGAGTCTTCTGATTATCTGGCCCCAAGCGCCAAGTGGACACCTCCTCTCTCTCTCTTGCTGCTTCTCCTCGCCTCCCTCCCTCCTGTAACAGCTCCCACTGCTGTCCGGTTCCAGCGCTGTTGTTAGTTGTTACCAACCAGCAGTTGAGGGCACAAAATAGGCGCACTCTCCCTCCGTACAATTTTGATCCCCCAACCAAATCTTTCCAAAGTCTCCCGCCCTTTGCCCCAAAACCGAAAACCAATCAGCCAAGCCGAAAGCCTGATCCTGACAAGCTCTGGCCTGACCACGATCCTCCCTTCTCGACTTTGCAGCAAAAAGCACATTTTCTCACCCACGGACTCCCTCGCATCCACCAACCCCCTCCCTCTGCCGCTGGGCCCCTTCTTGACTCTGCTTGTGCCTGTGCCTAACCGTGGTCCCTTTCTCTGGTTTGAGGTTTGAGGTTTTAGTATATTACCGTTTTCTGTTCAGATCCCGTTCCCCTCCCCCCCCTTCCCTTTTACTCTTTTCCCCCCTCCTCCCCCTCCCCCTTCTCTCCCCTCCCGGCCCCGACGATGCGCCCTACGTAATAATAATAATCATTATAATTATAATATTTTAGATTCCAGCACGCCTCAAGTTCTCGGCCTCACTGACTCTTGCTCTGGTCTTTGCTCCCCACAATTTTCTGTTTGCAGCATACCAAACAAGCTTTCCAAGCTTTGGTTCCTTCCCGTAACAACTTTATTCTTCAGGTACGAGTTATGCTCTTGATGATGATTATATCCATCCTATAATAATAATAGCTTTGTTTCTTTATCCCTCCCAGTTCCTCTTCCCCACATCTGATTTTTTTTTTTAAATTCATCATTCCTCTCCCCTCCCCCCAAAACCACTGCGATAATATTATTCCTCACCTGTATCTCTCTTTCTTCTTCCTCTTCTCTCCCCCCCGCCCCCCCGGTTCCTTTGGTGCCTGGGCGTCTGTTTTTGGTAAGCCACAGGCTCACTGCACATGGTACATACTGAGAGAGTACTGAAACCTATCTCAGTCCCTGACCACTAGAAGCCCAGCCAGCCCAGCCCAATACCCGTATTTAAATCTTAGTATTATTATGGATTTAGCTTATCCCTACCCTTTTCCTTCCCCCTCTCTCCTCTCTTAATTTAGCAATCCCCTGTTGTCGGTCATTATATATCCCTCCGACCTGATCTCCATCTCAGCACCTACCTTGAATGATCTGCACTACTTGTTCCCGTCGTCATGCGTGTATACCTATACTCCACCGCACGGAGGACAATTCCCCTTCTTTCCCCTCCCTACCTATGTTATCATCGTTTCTCTCTTTTTCTGCTTCTGCCCTGCTCACCACTCAGTAACGTCCCGAGGTCCCAACGCGCAGGTCACATGGTCATATGCCGGCTGCCTACCGATTAGTCATCCAGCATTCTACCAGCATTCAACCAAACCACCAGGGTGGGTAGGGGCCTACAGCAACTTCCCAATCCGGTTCTGCCTCCTCCACGTGACGTTCTTGGTGTGCCCGCTTCGTCTCACCGCCTCCTCCTTTTAGGCAACACGCGTTTGGCCCTTCGAGAGGTGGGAAAGACGAGGTGGAATTTGGTGTTTGCCCCCCTTTGCCGCCTTCCGACCTGGTAGGTTTCAGCCCTTGGGCAAAAAATCCTCTCCTTCCCCTTTTGTCCTGATCGTTTTAAATATCCCGTTCACAAGCGACCGACCGACTGAGCCAAACCGCCGCACCTGCCCGTTATTATTCGCTGTAGGTACAGTTACATACAGAGCACAGTACAGTACATACATACATACATACGGTCATTATTTATTACATTATTATTAGTATTCTTATATTCTTAGTGGACGGCGGGGCAACAGAGAGGAACAGAGAGAGTGTGTGTATTGGGGACAACTTATTATTACGCTACGGACACTTACGGTACACCTTATCCCCAACAAAGGCAAACAGGACACGCCCAGAAAGAACACAACAACGCCCCTGGGAAAAATTAGACAGAGCCCAACCCTCGCAGCTGGCAACGGGCCGCTGGCAACAACCAACACGCACCCAACAGCAACCACCCAGCCAGCATCCAAACAGCCAGCAACCGACAGCCATCACACAGCCAGCACACAGCCCCTCTCTCACTACCTGTTACTCTTACTACGACTAGCCCTCCTCCTCTGCTACGTACGCTTTGCCGCGCAGCCGGTAGACACCCGATCAGTGTGCCAGGTATGTGCGTGATGCCGCTTGCTTCCCTCTTGTTTCATCCATCATCCTCCTATCCTGTTACATCACCGTCCGTCATTTCCGCTTCATTCTAGTTTTTTTGTTTTTATTAAATTATTAGTCTTGCGTGTACTCTGCTTTGCCTCTCTCCCCGCATCGCCTATATCTCCCCCAATATTTTCCCTATCCCCATTACTTCTACGCACCCCACCCCATAATATTCCCGTTCGTTTCCAATCTCCCGTAGCCGCGCTCTCTTCGCGCTTTCGCGGCTCATCTTATCCCCCAAAGACCTTCTTGTCGCCCTCCTCTCCTGTCCTGGCTTCCTTATTCGCTATGTGCTTCCCTCCCTCCATCCACACTCCTGTCCTCTGAACACGTCTATTTTTGTCAACACTCTTTTTTATATTACCCTCATTTTATTTCATATATTCCTAATTTCATCTTTATTTTATCATTATTATTACTTTTTATTGTTATCATTTTTATTTTTTTAATTTTTTTTTTTAAAAAATAACCCTACCTACCTACAACCCCTAGCGACTGCGATTTTTTTTTTTTTTTCGTTTTTGGAATGTTACCTTCCATCTTGTTGCTATGCGATTATTATCGATTGCTGGCACGTGTGCTGACAAACCTCATGGTTGATGCTCCATACCATAGACGGATGGGTTGCTAGAATCTTCACGCCATGAATGCCTGGCTCACTGACGCCGCGACTGCGAATATCCCTACCCACGATAATGGCTCCTTCTCCAATAACCCTACTATCGATCCTTCAATGGCCTTCCTCCACCATCAATCCCCTCCTGCCCAGTTCCAGCGCATGTTCAACAACAATGGCGCCCCCCAGAACATGTCTCCCGGTTTCCATACCCCGGCCTCCGTGATCCCGTCCAAAAGACCTCGTCCCGATGATGGCATGTCCATATCTCCCAGGCCAGCACCCGGTGGCTTGCCAAATTCCCGTTCGCATACTCCTCAAGTGCCTTATCCGGGATATCAGGGACAACAGATCAATGGCGCCTCGCAATTTCCCCAGCCGCAGCATGCTCCAACGCCTTATCAACATCTCCAGCAAGGGGGCTCTGCCAATGCCAGTCCATCTCCAATCCTTCAGGAATTTGATCAACAAGGTGTGCAGGGCGTGCAGGGTGTGCAAGGCGTGCAACGGATGCAGACTGCGTCTCCCAGTCCCTTTTCGCCTGCTGGAATGCATGTTGTCCCGCAAATATCTCCTTCACACTCAGATCATGGCAGTCGCGTCAATACCCCGCAGAGTAACAGCTTCCCCCAGGGCCAACCTTATGGCCAGGTTGTCGCTCCTCATTTCTCCCAGTCTCCCGCAATGACGTCCGCTAGCATGCATCCTGCTATCCAGGCGCAATTGAACCAGAACAATGCTGGCCATCTCCCCCAAGGCTACCCGCAACAGCAACAAATGTCTTCGCAACAACGGCTGTATCAGATACAGCTGCAAAACCAAGCGCGTCAGATGCAGGCTGCTGCTGCTGCTGCCTCTTCTCCTGCTGGCGTAGTTGGACGGCCCATGGGCGCTGGGGGTCCGACACCCATGCCACATTCCCATATGGCTGCTATGCGACAACTGCAGCAGAGCATGACAAAACCATTGAGTGCAGACGGATTTCTTCAAACACTGCAGCGATTTTGGCTCTCCCGTGGTCACCCTCAAGTAAACCTTTCTCCTATCGTTAGTGGGCGACCGCTCAATCTCATGCAGCTATACGCGATTGTCATGAAGATGGGCGGGTCTAAGAAGGTTACCGCGACGAATTCATGGCCTATAGTAGCTCAACAATTACAGTTCCCTCCCATGCAGTACCCAACGGCAGTACAAGAAATCAGCGAACATTACATGAGGATCCTCGCGCAATACGAGCAAGCGTGGTTATCATCTCAACAAAAGCAGTTCCCCGATCAAATGCATGGTAGTCCGCAGCGGGATGCCAGCGAAGGAACTATAAGTGTTAACCCACAACAAATATCACCACCTGTCAAGCAGCAACCACCTATGGGCAACCATAATAATTCTTTCGACATGGGCCAGCAATTCTCCCCAGTTCCTGCGCAGGCGCCGCAAATGCAACCGCATAACCATGCGCAGCCTATACCAGTAAACGGATTCTCGACACCCGTCCAATCCAAATCCCAACAGAGACATGTAAATCACCAGCAACGATCGAGCCTGTCCCGACCTCCTGAGTCGATGTCGCCCAACGGGCGGGTTGCTCAGTTTTCTGCATCGCCCATCCAGACGGAGAAAAAGTCAGTTCCTAAAACAACAAAATCCCAGCCCGGCGGTGACGATGGTGTTGTCGAGGAACCATCAAGCACATCATATCGTCGTCCTATTGAGGATCCTTTCAAGCCTGTTATATTTCCTGAAAGTCAATACCATGGACCTATTTTTGTGGAAGAAATATTTCAATTAGGAGAGGAAATTATTCGACTAAAACCTAATATACCTAGCTTTTATGAATTGGGCGTAATCGACATTCACGCATTGACCATGAGTATTAAATCCGGAATTCACGCAGAAATGCGAATGGCATTAGACACTTTAACGGTCATATCGAATGAGCGATCAATCCAGGTCTCACTAGAAAACTGCGAAGATTTGGTCGAGGCTTTGATTGAGTGTGCGGAGGAACAAGCTGAGCTTCTGGCTGAAAACGCAGCTGAAGTTTCCGATGTCATGCTCTTACCTTCGTATGAAGAGGTCCTTCGTGGCTGTCGGCAGGAGATGGAAATGCTACTCGATGTTCCCGAGTTTGGCAGTCTAGATTACGAACTTGATCGCGCCGTGGACCGGCTAATCTGTATTACAACCATCATACGAAACTTCTCCTTCGCCGAATCGAACTACCCGCTACTGGCTCTCCCCTTCGTCGTCCGCTTTATGTCGACGATAATACGATACCTAGGGACAAGAAACTTGCTCTTACGAAACCACCAAAACACGCTGGATTTCATGAAAGACGCCGTCATATATCTTAGCAATGTGTCCCACTACATCCAACTGCCCGGTAAAGACGAAGCGCAATGTATCCTCCACTTCCTCCTCTCCTTCACTCCAACACCCATGCCGACCTCTTTCGGTCCCAACACGATCATGTTCACACCATACAACCCGAGCATACACAGATACCTGCACGCAGCCGTAGACAGCCTCGCCAAGCTCCTCGCGCGCGACGATCCGAATCGCACCTACTTCAAATCCATATTCGCTCAAGACAGCAATAGCAACATCAGCTCCAACGCTAACACCAACTTTACAAACGGCAACGTCAACGCTAACTGCGACAGGCACAGCAGCACACCCCCACCCCAATCCGAAACGCAGTCCCCAATGCCAACCACAACAACCACAATACAGACGTCCACCCCATACTCCACCCCCAATGAACTCCTAACCCGCACCTTCGGCCTCTCCATTGCCGCCATCCCCGAACACATGCGCGGCAACATCATCACCATCGTCGACGCGCGCAAGCCGCTCCTCATCCAGTCCATGCTGGCAGCGGACATTCTCGCCTCGTTTGCGGATAATACGCTGGCGCGTGCCTGGCTGGAGTCGACGGATGGGTTTGCGATTAGTTTGTTGAGGTTGGTATGTTTATTGAGTACGGATCGGACGGGTGGTGGAGGGGGTTCGGGGGGACATAGAGGCGGTGGGCCGGGAGGGCATGGTGGTAGGGCTGCGGATGCTGATGTACATGGGTATGGATCTATTACGTCGAGGGGGTTGGGGGTTCTAGTGAAGCTTGCGGGAAAGGCAAGGGTTGGGGATGGTGGTGGTAGCAGTGGTGGGACTGGTGGGAGTGCTGGTGTTGTGAGTAAGGCGCCCATTCCGCCGCTGGGTGTTTTTCCGAAGAAGGAGAATCTGCTTGGTGCGCTGTTGACGCCGAATATTGATCCGAATGTTGTGAGGCAGCTTTGCGAGTATGCGGGATTGGGGTATTGATGTTGATTTCGAGGTGGGTTGAGGGTGATGGGCTTTGAGCTTTCTATTTTCCTATTTTTTTTTTTTTGGGTGTGATTTGTGTGGATTGTGAATTGTGATATTTGATTTCTTTTTTTCTTCCATATTGATGTTTGGTATTTGATATGGTTGTGGTACTTGGTTTGGTTATTCGGTTTTGCCAAAGGCGGATCTGTGTTTTTTCTCCTACTTTTCTCCTTTTAACTGTGTCCGTTTCCCTTTCGTCTGTTCCTTTTGCTTGGTTGACTTCTTCTACTTCTATCTGTGTATGTCTCTAATGTGTTCTCTTGTGTCTGTAGAGTGTATGTGCTGCTGGAGATTGTGGGAGTTGGGGGAGGTGGTTGAGAGGGGAAGTGTATGTCTAACCTTTGAGAGTACCTTACCTACCTCTTGTTTTTAACATAACAGTTTTATCAACCTAAGCAAACTGAAAAAAGAAAAAGAAAAAAGGAACCGATTTTCGAGTTTGTTTCTTTATCCTTTAAGCTGTTTTTGCTGCTTCTTTTCCTACTGTTTTTCGTGTTGTTTTATTGTGGTATGCTACAATCGGGTTGGTAGGGGAGTATTCCTTTTTAATATCAAAGTCTGTACATACACTGTTCTGTCTTTGCCTAATGATTTAAATATATATTTAATACGTAGTTATCATAGAGTTTTACTTCTCTATGCTCTGTATTAATAAATCAAATTTGTTGTTTATATGTGATATTATCCAGTGTAATGACCACACTCTCTCCCAGTGACTACTCAACATAAATTCCTAATCTTTCAACTCGACAAAAAATATCCATTCAAAAAAAGTGCATTAAAAGAATTAGAAAAAATGACATTATTTTTCTTTTGTTAAAGCTGCAGCAGCAGCTAACAGATGCAGCTCATTGTCTCTCAATGATCATTTTACGTTTCTGGTTAGCTGATGAAATTAACTATATATATAGCTCAGCAGCAGCAAGATAGAGGTAAATAAATTTCTAGTTCAATGAATATTAAAATGTTGAAATGGTATCTTTGTCTTATATATATATAATGATTTTTTAAATATCAAGTTAAATGAATATTAATTTCTTAAAAAAAAAACTTAGTTGTTAATTGGATTAAGGTTGATCCGCTCCGCTCTGCTCCGAAAGGTTGATCCTCCCCGCTCCGAAGGTTGATCCGCTCCGATCCCCAACCCCTCTTTTAAATTCAGCTGCTCGTTGCATTCCTCATTCTAATCCTCAGTTTAATATTCTCGTCACAGTCGCCTAGTTAGATAGATGAATTGAAGCTTTTGTCTTGTTTATCTTGACTCTAGATAGAGCCATGACATAATACTAAACTCCTCTTTCTCAAAAAGCCCTGGAGATTGAGTAGCAGGCCTCATGTCCATGTCCACGTCCATGTCTGAATGAGCTCCTCAGTGGTTATGACCGTGCTGAATGCTCAGAACCCATGTTATGTCCATGTCCACGTCTATGTCTACGTCCAAGTCCTCACGTCCGTGTCTGAATGAGCTTCTCAGTGGTTGCGACCGTGCTGAATGCTCAGAAACCTGGTTAATTTTTGTTCTTGTTTATTTTTTACCTTCAATTATGGAAGCTTCTCTTGTTGTCCTTCACCAGGAATTTGGGAGTGCTATTCAGGAGCTTCGCAGTGAGAATCAACAGCTCCAGGCTGATTGCCAATCTTTACGGGCTGAATGTCAATCATTACATACAGCTCTGAACAGCTCCCGATCCCAATCCCGTCCGAAGCCTTCACTGCCAGACCTTGAACGAATCCCTGGCAGCCTATATTGCTAAGTTTGAATGCACTCTTTATGGAGCCAGAGCTCATAATTGGCCGGATTCTTCAAAGATACCTCAATTCCACCAAGGCCTCAGCAGGACAATCTGCAATCGTCTAGCTCAGCAGTTAAACTTCCCTTTGGACCTACAAGGAATTCTTGCGCGTTGTCCAGCAATTAGCTTCTAATTCCTCCTATTCATCTTTGCCACACGCTTCTAAGCCGGCTCGCTCTGATCACTCAGCTCACTCTGATCACTCAGCTCACTCTGATCACTCAGCTCGCTCCGATCGCCCAGCTCACTCCGATCACTCAACTCGCTCTGATCACTCAGCTCACTCTGAGCATCCTGCTCGCCATGATCACCCTGATTACCAGGACCCTATGAATCTAGATCAGATTCAACTTAATGCTCTTGACCTTTTGCATGATTCTCCACCACACGCCTCGCCAAGAAGGCCGTTGCGTACGTTGTGGATCCCATGATCATTGAGTTGAAACCTGTCATTTCCGTCCACATTCTCCTAAGCCCTATCGCCGTGAAACCGCCAAACAAATTCCAGCCTCTAAACAAGGATCTGATGGCGACTCTGATGTTAGTGAAATATGGAAGGAAACCTAAGATCAATTACTTTTCTTGGCCTTTTTAAAGCAGGTTTTCAGGTGAAAAACCTCTGAGAGAATCCTTATTTACTTTTGTTTTGAATCCCCGAGAAGACCATCAAGATGTCGGAAGCTGTTAGAGGATCCGACACTCCATGGAGATCGGACTGGGACACCATGATACAGATGGAGGGAGAGATGAGACCAAGGGAGTCTAAATCTATGGAGCTGTTTTTCGCGTCACTGGAGAAGGACCCCAGATGAGTGTACCAAGAGATTTCTGGCATCATGGATGAGGCTAGAAGCCGCATAGGAAGACTCCAAATGGAGCGAGATGACAAGCAAAGACAAGTGGACGAACTCAACCAGCAGGTGGATAGCCTGATAGAGGAACGGAACACCCTACAGCAGGCTGTGACTTCCTTGGCCTTGCAAGCCAGACCAGCGGAGTCGCAGAAGGCGCAACGATCCGCGAAGCTTGATGATCCCAAGCACCTCACTTATGGGAAGGAACCAATATTTGAAAACTGGCTCTCACGAATGAGGCGCAAGCTGGAAGTGAACGCTGATCATTTCCCCACGGAAAAAAGTCGAGTCGCATACATTGAAAACCGAACTGAAGGCAAAGCAGTAAGGCACCTAGCTCCAAGAATGACGAATGACCACCCTGAGAATTTTGAAACTGCAGAGGAGGTGTTTGAATACCTGCAGGGGATCTACGAGGGCGTCAACAAGCTGGAGAACGCGAAGATTGATTACCGGCGTCTGATAATGAGGAACAACGATGACTATCATGAGTTTGTGACGAAGTTTCTACACCTAGCTGGTGAAGCACAAATTCATAAGGAGGATTACAAGGCCGACTTCCTTCACAAGCTTTCATTTGACCTTCAACGTATGGTCACAGCAGCCTGCGCTAGTTGTGCTGCTTTTCGTGAAGTTCAAGAAATCTGTTCTCGAACTGCTCATTATCTAAAGGGCATGCCTAATCAAAGCAACCGACGACCACCAAATAGTGGGAATCAAGGACAACGTCAGAACAACTGTGAAGGATCTCCCACAATTCAAAACAATCGCGAATCAACACCGACCGCACTATCACAAACGCCCGAGAACAGGCCAAAGAATGAGGATTGGATAAAGAATGTGGAATTGTCTTACAAATATATCTTACATATATATTATAATGACCTTTTAAATATCAAGTTATGTTGATTGAAGCAGATAGTGCTTTTTTGATAGTTTGAAGGTGCAGAGAGCTCACCTCTCATTGCAAGGAACAGCATAGGCTGACTTGCTCGGTACTCTGGAAGCATACAGGCTGGAGCATAAAGAGAGAATCACTAGAGTCTTGATGCTGGTCTCTGAGAGATTCTCAGGAGCAAAGATTTCTCTAAAAATAGATAGCAGAACCATATATCAACATGATGTAGATGGTGTATAAATGATACATATAAATATCAAGTTAAATAAATACCCTATATAATGATGTGACGGTTAGCCAGCAGCTGCTTTTGGCGGTTTTCGCGGCTGCTTTTGGCCTCTCGCTAACCGCCCAACCTCAATCATCATGTGAATCTATCACCACGACCATGACACTTCCCTCCACACATTGTGATTTTTGAAGTTACTGCATTTTTGTTGCTTCCTGTCACCTCACTCACCCACTGCCTTTCTTTTTGAGGGGGAGCTGTTTTTGATGCTTCACTCTGTCAGTTTTGGCTCCCCCCCTGGATCATGTTATTCTCTCTGCTTTCAGTCCCTGTCTCTTTCATCATGCCATCTACAGCTCCTTTCCCTCCCCTCCTTCACAGCACTACTTGACCAGGTCAATCCATGAAAATGTCTCAGTCTTTCATTATTTATTTCTGTCCCTCTCTACTGTCAGCTCTTCTTGGGCCACCTCAATTATGATGTCTCTCTCTTATTTGATCAGATCTGTCAAGCAGAGCAGGAGCAAGATGAATGTCAGATCTGCTCTGAATATTCTCTTCACACTGAATATCATCTTTTCAGACAGTGAGTATGAAAGTGACTCTGTCAGCAATGATGAAGAGAATGATGACCGTCAACTCTCTGCTGAACACTATCTGACCTTAGCAGAGAGTTTTGATATTGCTCAGCTTCAACAGAAGCAGTACAGTCTCAATACTCAGGAAAAACTGAATGAGACCTGTGATTACTGAGAGAGGTAGGCAGTGGCTCATTTGACCCTCATGACTGTGCTATAAGCTCACCAGTGGGTGCTAGGCAGGTATTGCTGGCACATCAAGGCTAACGTGGAGTGGCAATGAGATTGGATCTCTGATTCAGAGAAGTTGGTTCACTTCCTGTATGCATTCTTCAGTTGACAGTGTGATATCTGTCATAGCAAGAATAATTGATACTGTCCAGGCATTAAATGCAAAAGCTCACTGGAGACATTTTGAAAGTGATGACATCTTGTTCTCAAGCAGGAAATGGCATCAGAACTCAGCAAAGATACAATTGTCAAGGCGGAAGATGTGAGCACCTATGCTCCCTCTCCTCAGATCACTAAATCAGAAGCACCACTAATCCCTTGCAGGTTGTTGCACAGATGATCACAGAAAAGGAGCTGACTCTTGTTGAGCAGTCAAAGAAGAACATGTATATTGAAGATATTGCTGAGTTCACTCAAGTCATTCTCATCATCACTGAGATGACCTATGTCTGTGGTTGGCAGTGCATTCAAATGGTTTTCTTCTTGCAGCTTGCAGTCATCACTGCCAGCTGTCCCTCAGCAATTCTCCATCTTCAGTATCAAGACATTGTGTTAACCCTGATCCAAGTTCCAGACAGTGGACGCCCACAATTGTTTGTATTCTTAAAATCAAAGTTTACTAAAAGATTTCTTGGAAATAAGGCACTGCATGTGTTTCTGATTCTCAAAGCATGGCCTGGTTGACTGACAGAATTGATAGGAATGAGTTTAAGATTTCAGAAATCATCTGGCTCCCTGAAAATGTGAGGCTCCAGTTGCGGAAGCAGGAGGAGAAACAAAAGAGAAGCAAGGAGAAGAAACAACAAAGGGAGAAGGAGATGCAATGAAAGAATCGTCTGAGCACATTACGTCCTCGACCATCAACAAAGCATACGCTGCAGCGTGCCTTTCCGTCGATAACGCATCTGCACGAGGCTACTACTGTGCACAGTCCATGGCTTCTTGACACGCTTTGAGAGTCTGATGTTTGCATGGTGTAGCATTTAATTCCAGTGTAGATGAAAGATCTGGGGACTTCATTATTGTCACTTGATATTATGGGGAGAGGTCTCAATTTATAGCTACGAGCGAGTGTTGTTGTGCTTTGTTGAGCCAAAGTTCGCTTTTTAAAGGTGTACTTCTGTTGGGTGTGACTAGTCGCTTTGTCGCGGCGCTTGCATGGTTGAGCCACGATCTGCGATCTGAAACTCCACATGGTTCCACGCCATTTTGATTCGCAGTTGAAACTTGGCCACGCGATCTGACCATTTATGCTCAAAGAGAATACGAAAGCCAAGAAGGAAAAAATCCTAAAACTGAAAAGAAAAAATAAGAAGGATTCAATAAAAAATTAAACATAAATTGATGACTGGATTGAAGCTGAGATCTGGCAACAATTACACGAGAAAAGCCAGAAGGTGAAGAAATAGGTCAAGAAAAGCCGCAAGTGTCATATTCAAAATCACACCGTGCGGGAAGATGGAATTCGTTAATCTGAATGGAAGGTATAGAAATATAGAAATCGAGTTTTGGATGTTAACCGGGTACGTAATCCGTAGCAGGAATCGAGAGCCCAAACGGCAACCCAAGCTTGAGTTCACTATGGAAGACCTGCTGAGAATAATGCCAGCGCGATTCTGTTTATTCTCACAAATCTTAAAGCATGTAAGAACTCAGCGCATATCGTTCTGGGTCTGTAAATTTAGAAAAATTCTCGGGACAAACAACGTCTGGGCTAGGACTACTTCTGTGCTGGGACGGACTACTTTAATTCTGTGCTCGGACTACTTCTGTGGTAGGACTACACTTTCCAACCTATGCCGGCTGTTACGTTGATTGATTGATTGATTGATTGGTTGGTTGGTTGGTTTAGTCACAGACTGTCCCAGCCGCCCTTGGAGTTGAAACCTCAAACTGGCATACAAGTGTATATATATATTAATATATCTGTCTATGAGGATAGCTCTCTCAATGGCTCTGGCCCTGTCGGAGTCGAGGTGGATGCCTTTGAGTGCTGTGGCTTCTGCCATGGTTCCGGGGGGCATGGGTCGATTGTCTCTATTGGTTCCAGTTCCTCTCCGTGGAACATTCTCATCGTGTCCTCTAGTGGGTAGTAACGTCTGTTTCCATTGCAAGGTTGCAATAGGCAAAATGGCATTATCTGTGTATCCGAGCACTTGCCAGGCCATTCCTAGCTCTTCCGTGATTCGGTATGTTTGTATATTCGAGATGCCGACGTGACCGCCATTAAAGTTCCGTGACGTGTGTGACCTGCTCGTTGATGTGAACCCGGCCGCGTCCCCTTGGGGCTCTAATACATTCATACTAGCGCACAAGTGGACAGTGTCGTTCAATGTGACGTGTTCTTGAAGGTATGTTCGAAGCTGTTGGTGGTTTTGTTATTGACCATATCCGTCCCTTCTATTCTGCTTTCTATCGCGTGATTGTCAATCTCCATTGCCGTAAACTGTTGTCGGGCAAGAGAGTGGAGGGACCAAGTCCATTTTCCGTCCAAAGGGCGTACGTTGAAAGGGGGCACGAATTCCTTTCTGTGCTGGGGCTGTATGTTTGGTGTTTCCTGAGGTTCCGAGATTGTTTTCCGCCGCTTCGACACGTCGTTAATGGTGGATAATCGCGTTGTTGAGCTGGCACTCAGAGACAGCCATACTGTTTCTCTGAGAGTTCCCAGCGGACACCATGTGGAGGTGGGAGCTCGTCGTCCGCCTCACTGCTGATTTTGTTGCAAGCCTCTTTCTGTCCCAGATCATTTCTGTCGCACTGTCGTACGACGTGCTTGTGGACTGCCCAAGGCTTCGACAACAGCGTCAAACACTCCGCCAAAAAAACCGATTCAACAGCCTCTCGCTCGCTGATGCTTGGAGGCAAACCTTCAAACCTCACAAACCCGAAGACGAAATGGACAATCACAAAAAAGATGACCTGAATGCGGTGCTGGACTTCGCGGAAGCGTCTGAAAGATTTCAATAGAGGTAATCCGACTGTAGCAACAATAGGCCTCGACGAGGCAGTAAGCTCGTACATGTAAATTGAATACGTCCGAAGATAGTCACATAGCTAGTTACAGTAGTTGTATCCTGCATATCCTGCATAGGGAGGAGTCAGGTAGTTGAATGAATCAAACAAACAAACGAAGGACGCCAAGGCGTGACCAGACGGGTCGGTTGTTTAATGTTATTGTTTCTGAATCTATCTAAATGCCTGTTTTATATATCTGTATGTAGGCTGTGAACTTCTAATAAGAGTATTGACTATAGACATCAATATTTGTGTCTCTCAGGGCATGAATCAAATTTTATTCCTGTTTAGCGGCGCCAGGCAAAAATGCAGGCTATCACTAGCTAATTCTGAGCCATGGATCGGCGAGTAAGTCTTTTGCACTGCTGCGCTCTTCTGGCTGCCATCGTAACATTCTCATGATAAAGTCGAGGAATGATATTTCGTCTTCACCTTCGACCTGATTTAGAGAATCTACCAAGGAGAGACCTTCTGGGATCAATTCTGGATATCGGAATGCACCTAGTTAAATAGTGAGCAGCAGGCACTCGTACCAGTCGTACGAGAATCGAGAGATACATACCGCTATGGTCAAAATACATTGTGGACTCGCTTCCTTGGTCGAGAAGCTCTTTCGGTGGCGGTCCCAATAGTGCGATCATGTGCGCCAGATGCCTCTCGCTCGTATACTCCATTTTGTGCGGATTAAGCGCCTCGAAGATGCCATCTTTTTCAAGCAAGTCCCATAACTATTCAATATCAGGAGGTTAACAATTCGTACACTTTCCATTGTAGGGTCTGGTTCCATACCAGAACACCAACGTTCCATATATCTGCGCTGTAACTCCAACCTGCTGTGAGGATAATTTCTGGGGCACGATAGTCGTCTGGTTGAATGGTATGATAATACGGATGAGATACATCCCCACGTACAGCAAGGCCAAAATCAGGAATCACTGGTCTTCCTATCCCTTTTGTCTGCAAGCCAAGTTCATTTCGAGACAGATAGATTATCCGGTCCTCCAGAATCTTCTGAGGGAGAGGGTGCTCAAATTCCTCGCGTGCAACGATTTCCAATATGGATTCGTCCCTCAATCCAACTAGGATATTATCGGATTTAAGATCTTGTGCTTCCGTTAGTCCATGTATTCCAAGTAGAATGCGGCTTCCGTGTTGTTGGAGACATAGCTACCGGTGTGGATGACATGGCATTCACTGTGTGAAGGTATTCAAGTCCTTGAAGCACCATTGTGGCTATTAGCTTAAGGACATCCAAAGGTAGCAGCACGTCGTTTTGAAAGCGTTGTTTGAATATCTCCAGAGGCTCTCGTAAAGTATAAAAGACCAGGCACACATGTGTGCCACATGGCCCACGTAGTTCGAATGAGTCGAGCAGAGTTCGTACAAAGTCATAACCAACATGTTGGGGATTCGCTTTTGTAATGTGCTCTGTGATACGTAATTCCGTCTCGGCGGACTTTTTATCGGCGTAATTATTCGCGCTGACCTTGATTGTAACATAACGCCGCGGTAGCCAGCGCCATCTGTGCTGTCAGCGATTAAACTGGCCCCTGGGGTTGAAACTCACTGATGCAAATCTTGTGCCAGCCACACACAGTTGAACTTGTGCCCCAACCGAGTTTCGCGACAACTTGATATCTATCGTTCAAAACTTGGTACAGGCGGACCGGGGTTAGAAATGGCTTGGGTTATATCGAGGGGCGCGTTCCTCCTCAATAGATCCAGCGGCGGTAAGACTCGCAGCCACAGACGTCTGGTGCAGCGAAAGGAGTGGATTGGAAAATTCTCCGCGTGAACGTCATGGGCGCCATGAGTCGACGCATCATTATGTAGGTGAATGTCCAGGGTTTGTATCTTGCAACATTCAGATCAGCAACGGTATTGAAAAAGTCAAGTGTTTTCCGACTAAGCCTAAGTAGCTGGCGGACCACGTTTTGTGCATTTGGCATGCGCAGGCAAAGAGTCAGCCCTATACAATTCCTCGTTAACTACCCGACAACGCCAACAGCTGTTGCAACGCCTCTCTTTCTGAAGTGGAGTTGATAACCACTCTCGGTCGTCTACGGAAAACAAGTACTCTCTCCTCTAGCAATTTGGATGTTCATTTTTATTCACATCGTCTTTCAGACAGGCTCAGTTCGAAAATCTCGTGCTCAACAAAACACCTGGCTGGCAGATTAAACCTGTAATTCCATTTCACACCCACCCCCCCCAGCACTGTTAAACTCCTCCTTTGAAAACCTCACCTCCCCGTCATGATACCAATGCCCCGACGTGATGCGAGTTCCATTTTTATCCAGCAACTGCCCTGACACGCGAAGTTCTGGGGTCTGGGGTCTGGGGTCTCGTGGTGGTGGGCGATGCACATCCGCGGGTGACTGGATGTGCTTCGGTGCATCAGAGCTCCGCTAAGATTAGCGATGCACGGGCATATATGAAGAGGAATGGAGCATATTTGGAGGGCATTACCAGGATGGAAATATCGTAGGCTTGTCGACACGTCCATCGATGACGACGTAATATTCCTTGTTCTCGTGAGTGATGTGAGGCCATAGTGCAAAGCTGCACAGTCTTACCGAATATATATATATATATATATATATATACAAATCTATTTACGTCGTTTCTTTGGCATCTTGAATGCTTCTGCAGATTTCTTTCCAGGAGCATCCAGGTGAATATTTTGCGGACCGGGAGAGGAGAGTCTCCTCCTCCAGATACAGATGTAAACTTCGAACCCTGTATATCAGCCCCTTCGACACCCTGCGACAGTTCGGGTAGCTTCGCATAACAGCTAGTTTAAAAAATGTCGAATAAACATAAAATAAATATAATCGATAGGCCACGGCTACTCCGAAGAAGAATAGGGGATATCTCGAGCATGACTAGGCCATGAATATTCTAATATTTGCCTTCCGGTTTCAACCAGTTCATTTCCTAGATTACTACTAGAACCCCACAAGAGAGACGGGTATTACGGGTCAAGGAAATAATCCCATCTCACCAAACAATCGCCAATGGTGCATCTCCTGAGTTCCCATAGTGCCGGTCAATCTGTTCAAGTGGTTCTCCCTCAAAGCGACGACCGTAGCTTGATATCACCCTTCAGGCAAACACAGGACCGGTCATACTTATTATGGCTGTGTAGTTCGGCTTTCTGGGTGAATGCCGTTGTTTGCTCTTCCCCCTCATTTCTTTGGCTTTCTACTATTTTTGCTTGTATCCGCACATATTTTCTAGCTCTGAAGAGGATTACTTTGAAATTACACCTCCTGCTCACTCGTTTTTCCAAGAGAGAGAGTTATGCAATGCCAAGCTATCTAAGAAGTGTGGACCTAATAATTCCAGCAGTTACCAGGCGCGTAAAAAGAAACCAGTGGTTGTAAATTAAAACAGTATGCGTTGAGATGGCCAATATAGGCGATGCTTATCCATGATAACCCATCTATCTATTCGGTTGGGTCTTGCGGCGTTCCAACGATAAGTCCTTCCTCCGAGATGGCTCAACTCACTAATATATTCCAATGTATTTGTATAAATACACTAGATATAATTACTCTCAAGATTCGATTGCAATATCCGTAGAAGTGCTCGTTCTATTGGATACCAACTATGAAACTATACTAAGCTGGGGAAAGAAAGGGAACCCTTTTATAGATATCCAGTTTCGCTAGTGTACGTGCTGGATACCAGCGAGGGTCTTACGTTCCCACCTCCTGATGCTCCTTGGAGGGCTTCCTTCGACACGGGTGTTCTCTTTGAGCAGCGATCCTGGACCGAAGTGTGCGGATGCGTATATCCAGTCCCGCTAGCGTACCAGGGGCTTACAGGTTCTACTTCCTTGGCTTTTTGCATACTTGAGTTCGTTCAGTGAAAGAGGTGGTTGGTGTAGCATCTGTGGAGTCAATATAGCCCAGCTGACTTGGTTGGCTGTCATCATCATTGATTGTGAGCACCGACTCGGCGTTGGATTGTTCGGAGTATTGAAGTTCTGACTGTGAGATCTCAAAATCCAAATCAGGGGCGATATGGTCAATCGCTGAGCATATTTCTTTTAAAATGAGTTGGCATCCATATATATATAATAAACATTCCTTGTGAACTTGTATGCCGTCCATTTCTCTTTGCCATCCAGAGCAGTGAAATCGAACTTGTGGATCGGGTGGCGGTAAAAATTCGTCTTCTCTCCTTCAAGAACAGCATAGTGACCATAGATCCTCACCGCTGTGTGGTCATGCGAGATTGGGAAGGTGAGTATCTCTCGGTCGACCTCCTTTTCGCGCTTCACGAGCTTGAATAACTCAACGGTAGCTCTCACTGCAATAGTGGCGCTGTGGGCATTCTGTCAATCTGCGATGCCAAGTGACACTGCACCACACTTAACCTTCACATGTTAAGAATGGGAAGTATAGGTAGTATGTCGCCATAAAGTATGATGTGTCAGTCAGCTCACCAACAAAATCCTGAAGCCTCCGCAGCTGGCCATCTGTGAAAGCGTCTCGTTTAAATCCCACGGAATAATCAGGCTGCGGTCGAGTTTTGGTAACGGGGATTGAATTATCCCAGCCTTCATTGATGCTTTCGACCAGATGATCGAGATGTGTTGCACCATATATAGCTAGATTTGCCGTGGAGGGGACAATCAATCGAGTGATATCTCGGATAACGATGGCCTCATTTCGGCGTCGCACCTTCTCGCAGGTTGCTTTGAACAGATTGTCACGGAACAATGAGTTTTCAGGAATCTTTTGTGCGGCATTGAGCAAAGTTTGGTAACAACTTTTGCTGACTTCTGTGATACCCTGCTTTGATTCACTCATTGCTGGAATAACGCTGAATCTTATGAATTGTGTTCTTTTGTAAATCCCAATTCTAGTCACACATCAACGGGAAGCGTGGAGGACGTTCTGTATTGTAGGCCCAAAGACATCATCTTGATGTATAATGCTGATACTGGATTACGATAAATATATCTTCTAGCCCTAATCTCTCAACGCTCTAACCCATGCAGGCGCTGCTCTGGACGTTTGACCCTGTTGTCGTGGAGATATGCCCGGTCCAGCCATTGTTATACAGGGTCTTCTCTGGTTATATATACCTGTGGCGAGCTGTGGGTTGCCCCTGATGAGAAAGGTAAGGACGCTGCTAATCAAGGCTACCCTCATCTGCCTACCAAGGGCCGTTAATGAACGGCTAGGAGAGGCCAACTTGTGGTCGATCATGATATCACTTTCATGTACAGGGATTAGCATTACGTCTCACCTTCCGGGGTTGCAGATGCTGCCCTGACACCGGCGCGTTCAGCTGTACGCATTCCCCTCTCTTGTTTCTGAAGCGTAGACACCCGCTGGCGCAACGCTGATTCCGTCCTTTCTGGGAAACACATCTCTATCTCCGGTCAAGGTCGGCGCTCTTGCATCATGCCCAGGAGCCGTGCGTCATCCTCGGGGAGCCATCGCCACAGCTTGTCTCTGTGGCCCTTTCTCCCCTCGCCGCGCACTCATGCTGAGTTTCGCCAACCTTGTGAGGAGCCGGCCGACCGACCAGCTGCCCGCACACTCTCATCTCCCCATATTGCTGGCGTTGAATCAGGCATGCAACTTGCCAAAGCACCTTCAAACAGTCAAGAAAGGAACTGCAGACACTCGTTGAGCTGTAGTGACAGGAAATGGGAGCGAAGGGCTGTGGAGGAGCCTTCCATAGATGATACAGAGGCAATGTGAAGTCACTTTGCAGGTGGTTCTTCTGATTGCTGTGGCCCTCACTTGCGTCTCCTCGACTGTTCATCACTGAGGAAGTCATCACTCATGCTGTAGGAGCAAGGCACATCAACATCAGTGCCGCAACGGGCGGGGTGAATCTGCCAATGATCCAGAACATAAGTGTCATCAACTGTTTGAGAATTTCTATTCCAGCTGTCAGGCCTCTCTTCGGATCCTTGGTGATGGTTGAAGGGGTCACAGGACATAGACAGGGGAGGTTCAGGATATGGATAAATGGCCTTTGGGTTTGCAAGATCATCACCTTGCTGGACAGGCTGGTGAAGGTCACTAATGTCCCAAGGCGCGTTGTCGGCAAGGATCACTGGGTCAATGGGGATGTTGTTCTGGAGATCCAGGAGCCTGCAGAAATCTTCTAAGCTACCATCTGAACTGGTTTTGCTCAGCGATGAGGAATCAGTCCCTGTGGCGCCTCTCCCAAGGGGAGGCAGTTCAGTCGGCGTATCAGAGATATTATCTTGGATATCACGGGCAGAGGTGGGATGCGAATTCAGGGTGTGATGTGCCAGATCACAGAGAGATGATACGCCATGCCGGAGATTCTCTGAACTGGGCGGTGGTAGAGACATCTCCCTTGGTTGAGAGGGGGAGCTCAACAGCGCACACGGCTGAGTATTACCGCTGATAGGCACGCAAACTTTGGCTGGCGGCTTCAAAGGAAGGCCATGCTTGGGGGGCAGCATGGTGTTGGGGTAGACATCACAACGCGGGGCTGGGGGAGGGGGAGGGGGGTTTCTGGATTCTGGGGTGCGAGAATTGGGGCATTTGCGCGGTGAGAATGACTTGGGGTGCCGCGGCGTCCACGGCTTCCACGGTTTCACATGAAACGTGAGGGCCATCTGGGTAGGAGATCGAGGATCTGAGAGGGGAGATTCTGAGTCAGAGGTGAATCGGGGGGAGTAGGAAGGAGAGTGGGAATTGGGCCTGGGGGAAGAGCGTGCGCGGGCGAGAGAAACAGATCACGAAGTGCCAGTGATTTCGTAGGAGGCTCGGCCACCCTTTATAGTTGCTCTCAGTGTCAGTTGCTCTCAGCGCAGAGCTTTCAACTGCCTCACCATCTCCCATAGAAGAGGAAGCAACAGGGCGAATTCCTCTGATCCTGAATCTTCCCTGAGACTGACTGACGCGTCCGTCCTCATCAGAAAGCCACCTGGAGGTCGATAACCGGCGCCCTGCACCAATCGCATATGGTTATTGCCAATTCCAACCCTGAACATGTCGAGCATGCAATCCTGACGAACCCCCCTTGGTCCGACCTCCAGGCGTACACCAATACCAATAAAGAAGTGCAGCAATTTTGCTATTGGCTGGGGAAAGGAAATGAGGCAGTCTGCCTTGGTGGGTCAAAGGGCGATGCAACCCTCCATCACTCAGGGCTCAGCAAGCCCTCCGCCCGCTGGTCTTCCCCGTGGCCTCAATCGATCGTCGCCTGTTGCTTTTCCGCACAGATCTCCATGGACGAAAGGCGCCCCAAGACAACAGAGAACAGGAGAACAGATCGACCGAATAGAACCACAAGAGAAAAGAGAAAAAGAGAGGGAAGGAGCGGAAACTCTTGACCTCCCAACCAAAAATTAAAATAGAATAAAATAAAAATAACATAAACCATTGGCAATCTGCGGTTCAGTCGCCGATCGTACAACACGGTGAAGGCCATTGCAACATGGCTGCAGATGTCCCAGCAGCCTAGACTCCAGATCAAGCGAAGTAACACCGCGAGGGGCGGCGTGGACGGCTCAGAGACCAATGAAGCGGCAGCCCACGAGATGGTCAGAAGACATCCATTCAGCGACTCCGCGGGCGCAGGAAGAAAAAGGGGCGAGGGCCGGGTAAGACGGCACCGTTTCGCTGCAGGGGGAGGGGACAGTGCATCCAGGCCCGAGTGAGCGAGCGACAGAGAAAAGAGAGAAAAGAGAGAAAGAGGGAGAGAAAGAAAGAGGAGGAGAGAGTGTGTGGTCGTTGCGAGGGCGCGGGACGGGTTTTTATAGATCGAGCGGCGGTCCGTTGAAGCGGCGTGAGAGGGCGCAAAAGCGGCGAGGGGGCACGCCATCCCCGAAGCGGCAACGGTGCCGCCGCAACGGGCCTAGCGCACGAGGCGGACCAATGACGACCGCGCCCGGACGGCTCTGCTAACCGGCGCAAAAGATAGTATTTTGATATAAATTGAGTAATAAATTTGATTTTTAAATATTATCTCATCAGGTTTAAGATATTTTCTGTAAGATATGAACTCTTGGTTTTTAAGTTCTTATATTAAATGTCACTTAGAAAGGTGTCAACGGGTTGTATGTGCTTCGTTAAATATGCACTAATATACCATCATTACCCCCGCAGTGGGGTAGCTCTTCATTGGCCATTGTTTCCTTGCCCTTTCTCAGGGTTAGTAATGTCGTAAGAGGGGAAAGTATAAAATGAAACAGATGCTCAAAATATGGATAATTGAGTAAAATGCTTCTTTGTTTAAATTTTTCGATCTCTTGAATACTCCACTAAACTCCTCCCCTTGGCTAGCAGCTTGGAACCGTTTTCGTAACTGTATAGTACATGGAGACAGACAGACAGGAGAGAGGAGGTGGGGAGGGGGGAGGGAGACGGTCATACCGGTATGGATGTAATGAAGAATATGCAGACAAGACACAGACAGCAAGCGGAGAGAAATGACGGAGGGGGCAAAAATGCAGAAATCAAATGCTTAACATGATTCGATATGTAGAGTGGGAAACGAGAAGCGCAAGGATTAACAGGAACGGATATTGACAAAATAAAGTCAAGAAATGTAAACACAATAATGCAGGGTTACCCGATGTTAGGGAGGTGTATAGAGTATAAAAGCTGAGGGGAGAAAAAATCCAAAAAGGCTAAAACGCAGACTAAGCTGCTTCAAAGACAAAAACAATCTCGGGCACCTCACTTTTCCTACCGCACCACGACTGCCTGCTCGATGACTATAGACAAACCCCCTTAAAAAATACAAAGGGAGAAAGGAATGGAAACAGAACGCTTCAATGACTTTTTTGCTTTTCATATGACGAATTGAGATTTTACGTCCCCTTTTGAGTTGGGGTTTTTGCACTAAATGGTTGCTGTGGGCATCAGATGGAATGGAACAGGTGGGGTGGTAAGCTCGAGAAGATTTGAGTAGAAACTTTTGTGCGGTTTTCTTAAAATTCATATTAGAATTTTCGGTCTAATAAGAATTGTTGTATTTCCGGTTTCCGCCATCCCTAGATTGTTTTTTTGAGATTGTTTAGCTATGCTTAGACTTTGTTGAGCTCACACACACGCTCTCTCTCTCCTCCTCCTTCTTTTTCCTTTCCTTTCCTTTCCTTTTCTTTTCTTTTTTTTTTTTTTCGGTTGTTATTTAAGGTGGTTGGGACGAATGGTTTTGCGCTGTATCCGACCACCACCACACAGAACGGTGTAAAATTGAAGAAGGAAAATAGGCAACAAGATGCATACCTTAACAACCACATGTCCATTTAATCGATTGACATATATGTCTTTGGATTCCGGCTCAATCCCTAGAGTTTTTGCCAGATCTGAACATAGCGCATCCACATCTCCCTCTGTTTTCTGGATTTTCGTCTCCTGCTTCGTACCACCAGCTTTAGTGACCAAATAGATGGGTAGTTGGTTGGAAAGAGTACGGCGGATGAAGTAAGGCAGATTCGTAAGGGGAAGAGGGGGATGGACAGGAGCAGGTTGAGCGGTGGGTTGGTTGGTTTTTGTAGTGTTGGATTTGGAGAAAGGGCGTGGGATCTTTGTTGTGAGGTGTCGGGATTGTGTGGAAAGGGATGAGAGAGAAGAGGCCAATTGGAAGGGCCAGTTTAGAGATTCTATGGATATAGTTAGATACGTTGAGTCTAATATAATTGATATCAAATTGGAATTCGTATGTTCCATTGTTTGGTTTTCTCGATGGAGCTGCTGGGGAGGTAGGGAGTATTACGAGATCTGCATATTCGCGTCCGGGATAAAATTTGTAATAGCGAGGAAGTCGATGGCTTGCTCTGGGGGAACATCGAATTGGATCTAAGACATAAGGAGAGCAATGAGGATTGTTGGCGAAGCGCCGGGCATACAGTTGATGGAGGGAGAAGAGCTGCCATGGCGGAGAGGCAAAGAGAGCGTCGTGTCAAATTAAAGACGGGTATTGAATGAATTAGAAGTTATAGAAATATGGGATTAAGGGAAAGGAGGCCAGAACAACCTCCTGATCTTTAACCCTCCTTTATTATACCCCTTTTCCTGTTCTTCGGATGGATATACACATCTATTGTGGTGTTTGATGTCGTTCTGACATCCACAACGTTTTGGCTCCAAGCTTTTTTGCTTATCAAATCATAAGTGCCCAGCACACTAGAGCGCATCAGGACTAGCACGAACTTTTCATCGCTCCACACATTTTCGACATCGTCAACTTCATTTCAGCGATCTCGCACAGTCGTAAAGGCAGCCAACAGCCAGCAGCCCGCAACGGACCAGCCAGACACCTCGCTATCCCACCGGTCCCCCTGGCTACTGGTTTCCCCCGTTCACTGTATTTTTCGCCATGGCAGGAAATGTTCCTCCGTCTGCTGACACCCTGCTGAAGGGTGCAGCCTCTCGCTCCGCCACGACCCCCGAAGAGATTGCCAGAGAAAATGATCTCCTCCCAAAACTCATGCCCTATCTCGACCGTCACCTTGTCTTCCCCTTACTGGAATTTGCATCTGGCCAAGAAGAAGGAGATGACCAGGTTGATGAGATAACCAAGGCGAAGTATGAGCTCTTGAAGCATACCAACATGACGGACTATGTTGCAAACCTGTGGCAGGAAATTCATAACTCTGACACTATACCCGAGGAGTTTGTCAAGAAGCGGGAGGGAGTTGTGAAGAAACTGCAGCAGTATGTTGAGGACAGCAGCAAGATCACGGAACTTTTGCAGGACGACAACGTAGTCAGCAATCTGCGAAGTGATAAAGCTGCCAATTTGAAGTTCCTTGAAGAGCAACATGGTGTGACGATGGATATGGTCAATATTCTTTACGATTATGGTCGATTCCAATACAGCTGTGGCAGTTACGCCAATGCTGCTGAGCTGCTTTACCAGTTTCGTGTCCTGTCGACCGATAACGACAAGGTAGCCTCTGCCACGTGGGGCAAGCTTGCCTCGGAAATCCTAACCACCAACTGGGAGGCTGCCATGGAAGAAATCCAGAAAGTCAAGGAATCAATTGACACCCGCCTTTTTAACAACCCCCTCGCCCAACTCCAGCACCGCACATGGCTGATCCACTGGTCTCTTTTCCCTTTCTTTAACCATGACCCTGCTCGTGACACCCTAACGGACCTCTTCTTCTCCCCCGCCTACATCAACACCATCCAAACTGCTTGCCCCTGGATTCTTAGATATCTTGCTGCAGCAGTCATCACCAACCGCGGACGCGCACACAAGAATACCTCTCTATACCAGAAGCAACTGAAGGACCTAATTCGTGTTGTACGACAAGAACAATACGAATACCAGGATCCTATTACAGAATTCATTCAGGCACTCTACATCGATTTTGACTTCGAGGAGGCGCAGAAGAAGTTAGGGGAGGCCGAGGAGATTCTTAAGAATGATTTCTTTCTTGTTGCTGCAGCTGATGCATTTGTGGATGCGGCAAGACATTTGATCTCCGAGAGTTATTGCAAGATCCACCAACGTATTGATATTAAGTAAGCACTTCTATATCTCTGAGAAATTTATATATTTATATCAAACTAAAAATAAATCTACAGGGATCTATCCACTCGACTTGGCCTCAACCAGGATGAAGGCGAGAAATGGATTGTCAACCTTATTCGTGACACTCGGGTTGACGCGAAAATCGACTACAAAGAAGGCACTGTTCTCATGAACCATCCACCACAATCAGTGTATCAACAAGTTATCGAGCGAACCAAGGGAGGATTTTTCAGAACCCAAGTATTAAGGTAAGCCTGGTTTTGGTTTTGGTTTGCTAAAATCTTCACCAAATGTGTACTAATTTAAATCTCCGCCTAACAGTGCGGCTGTCGCAAAATAAATCTAAACTAAATTGGGAGAATACGACCTTTAAAAAAAAAGCGAGGGAGAAAGAGTAAAGACAGAAAGGAAACCAAATGGGATTTCATGATATACCACATGACCTTATCTTGACTTTCTTAAATTTTATATTGTGTTACCTGTTCCGCTTACTTTCTACATTAGAGAAAAGAATGATCTCTGCACACCCAAAATCGTTCCTACTTTTGTGTTTTATTGCGCAAGTGGTTTTTTGATCTATCTCTATGAGGAATGGCTGTTGGGCATCTGGCTGGCGTTTCGTTTTTTCTTTACAAATCTTGTCCTATTCAGCTCAAAAATTCCTATACGTGTTTCTTTTACGCTTCTCAATATTCCTTTATTAAGTGATATTTTCCCTCGTCCCCTTTTTATACACGATTTTCATAACAGATGTGGATATCAATTGGTATTATGGAGAGGGTTTGCTGTCATCTATTGAACTTAGTTCATTTGTTATCTTTGAACTTTAAACGCACCTCATCCTCCCGGAGCAATTTTGTGATTATTACATTCACACCACGACCAACAGCTGCATCTCGGATTTTTGACGGGGGCAAGGTCCATAAGAATCTTGAGACAGGGTGGATATGGGTATGTTGTCTCGAACATAGGGGACGGTGCTAGGCATTGCAGGGTTCTCCTTAAAACCGGGAGAAATGGGCAGCCGAATATAAACTGGGGTATGGGAAACGGGCATTTCATATCAGGTTCTGTAGAGCCAGTTTGATGGTCTTAACTTATGTGCCACGTCTGGGAAATTAGACAGAACGCTGTTTTAGTGATTAGTATGCTCTCTCCACCCAAGAGACGCGGTGTTTCATCAGAATACAAGAATAATCCCGCAGTGAAGCTCAAATCCAAGTTCTCTGAAGTTTACTACTACGTAGATAAATCCTATGTGATGGAGTTACTGCTTTATTCTAGTATGTTAGCCCATGTATGAGCTAGCTATCAGTAGTGGGTATCCCGTAGATTCTGCCACGCCAGAAGGTCTATAATTAATCTATTCATTCTTATCCGTGTTGGGGGAGGGGATCCTAGGCTAAAGAAGATTACACCAAAAACGAGGTAGAGATCGGTTCTATTTGTCGCTTGGTGAGGATTTGTGCATTATTTAAGCCTTCATACTCCTTTGTTAGGCAGTAGATGTTTCTGTAGCTAGTATACATTTCTCCTGTGCTGTCTGTATTTAATACAAGCACCAAATACGAAGGACATCGTGGTTCCTGTTAAAACAGGGATGAGGCCAGGCCCTCCGGCTAATTATTTCAAAATTCCTTGGGGAAGCTCCAAATCGACAGTTGTAGGTAGGCCTTAAAATGAGATAACTTAGACTAAGTATTGCTAGGTCGCGTAGATTCCGAGCTGTAGAGTTTGTAAGGCTGTTGTTTTATTATCGTCGGGCGTTGATGTACTCTCCCGCCACTCCCAGGAAACGGATATAATGACACATCCCTAGCTTGTCGAACATTGGCCAGAGGCACGCCTCATCGGATCAAAAGCAAGGGAATGTATTGAAACATTACGAGTGGCCTGTGTTGGATCGAAGTTCTATGAGAACGTAGTACAGGCCGCCTGGTTACCCTGGACAACCAAATCAAGATTAGGAATTTTACCTAGGACAAAAAGAAGTTAACCAACCCGTATTTCTGGATGGGGAATTTGAGGCTTGAGGGGTTGTTATTAACTTCAGATGGTACAAAAATAGCTTACTCTCGCTCGGTATCTTTATTTCTTCCACAAAGATTTTCATGGGATCATTAAATGGAAGTGGACCGTACTGCTGGGACGATCCTAAATGGTCGGATCCAAGGAACACCAGTATTCTCTGGGAATTTAACATACTACATCGGACAGGAAAATACAGGGCTTTGCTGAGGTTGATTGCCTGAAAGGGTGGCCTTCCGGAAGTTAGAAGTTTAGGGCTGGATTTAATATTGGTGGTGGTAGCAGAGGCAAATAGGAAGCTCTACACCTATCCAAGTTGGAAACGACAGAATCAGAAACTGATCTCAGAGAGATGGAGCCTGTCCAGAGGAATACGTGATCCAGGAAGTTTGCAGCAGTTTAGGGAGTTGATGGATGATACGACGAGTTCTGTAGAAGTGCGCTTTGCCCACTGTCCCAGTTCTCAAGCATCAACCACACGATATGCCCAAAGGGCTTGTCGGCGTTTTCAGGATAGAGGGGTTAGGTGCGTATCGGACTACCACTTGTGGAGGTAATCTTGGACCGATATTAGGGTGGTGGGAGAAAGGTTTTTCGGAAGACTCATGCACATAATTTTTCAGCATGAAAATGTCGATTTGAATAGAAAAAAATCAAAATAGGCGATTATAGATATTTTCGCTATCCAATACCGTTTTTAAAATGTTCCGTTACTTTTCCAATTTCCTGAAGTAACCAAAGATATTCCTTCATATCCCAACGCCTGAACGATAACCTTTGCCTCCTTTCGACTCTTTTAAATCCTTAGCCCGCTTGCACCTTGATCTCCAAAGATGAATAGGCTGGGAGAAGGATCACCCCCCTTGTGGGTGAATATATTATGCGAAACTCCTTGGGGAAAGGTCGTGGTTCAACAAGAGCGTTCGTAGGTGTCTCTAACGTATATCTAACGTATATTATCGAACAACAAACTCGTGCATCATCGACTTCACCACGATTGTTTATGTCGTGAACGCCGATCTAAGGGCGAGTATCTTCTACATCTCCTTCTATCGCTTTCTCCTTCTCTTTCACGGTCTTCGTTTCGGTCACTGACACGATCTCGATCTTTTTCGCGCATTCCAACGCTTATCAATTCATTGACGTATTGCTCCGAAGATTTGCCGTCAGCATTGAAATTGAAGTTGTTGTGAGCCATCCGCATAGCAGCTCCTTTCTCATACTCTAATGACATGTTTGCCAGGTCCTCAATTTGTTGCTGCACAAGAAATTAGCTTGTACTCTCAATATGTGAGGGAGGCTCCTCCTGTCAATGTTCCCGATTGACAAACATACTCGAGTCAAAGGGGTTCCTGTGACAAGATAGCCTTCGCGTCCCTGCAGTTTTGGTTAGATATGATTGCAAAGGCTAAAAGCAACAAGGAGTCCGTACTTGATAACTATAGGGCCTAGCGGACGATGTAGGTCCCAGAAAATATTGGATCTGGCTTAGGACGATGTGTCGTGACAGCCCGTATCCCGGGAGCCAATATTGTTGAGATTCTGTCATTCTATGAAGAGATCAAAAGATGGGTTCAACAGACCTTCAGCCGGAAAGATTCAATATGCTCTGTCAGAAGATGGAGGAGTGGACAAGAATAAGAAGGTAGGATTAATTAGTACGCTGGGATACAGTAAGTTTTTGAGAGGTTGAAATGGTTTAAAAAGAAATCCACCGCACTCGACAGCTAGGAGTCCCCTATTTATTTCCTGAGAGGAACCCATATAGAGCTACCTAGGTAGAATTGCAAGTATGCGAATGCTGGTCTTTATTCTCCACAGCAGTGCATTGGGGATGACCTCATCCAAGCTTTTGGACAGGGCTTGCGCCACTAGGCCTGATAGAGGATAGCGGGACCTTCCCCGTTTCGGACGCCCTTTGCCCTTCCAGCGAAATTACACGCAAGGGTCGCCTCGTTTGAGCGCCTCACTTTGAATATAGTTAGTTCGTCTTTGCCCATCCAGATCCCGTCCACTTGCCCGGCGCGAAACACTGTGCGATCTCTGATGCACTTCTCTTTTCAAGCTGCAGCAGCAAATGCATCGTGTTCTTCAACTATTTGGTCATTGCCACCATGGTCTCGAGCACCAGTTGATGCTAAATCCAACTGTTGCAGATATTTCTGTCAGACCACCTGAAACACTTCCGAACTTTCCACGGTTTGATTGGAAATGCTTGCATGTCACATTTTTTCAATTATAAACGAAGTTTTCCACAGATCGATGAGGTTTGGAAAACGTGACGGACTGGCCTGATTTTGAGCGGAGAATGGCGGGAGAAGAGCAATCTGTATTTTCCCATAAGAGGGCGGCATACTGTAGAGCTTCCAGAGCTGTGCCTATGCCCCAGTTAAATAATGCGAGTTTGGTCTTGCGGTGAGAGCATGCTAACTGACGCCAGTTAATCAGCAGCGCAGATAGAACCTCGATTTTGGCTCGGATTGTTTCCATTCGCGTTATGTTGTACATAACCCACGAAACTCGCCGCTTTTGTTTCAAAGTGTTATAATTGGAATCTTGCTCTCCCGCTCTTTGCTTTGACAGCGGCGTCGCAGGACTGTCTCGAAGTAGGATGCTCACACCCATTGACTCTTGCCACTAAGGGTTGGCACAAGCTTCATTGTGTGAAGATCCATATGACGACTATCAGCACATCAGCATTTGCTTAGATAGATGACAGGACACCCAAAACTTGAAAGGGTTGTTTCTTGATGGTGGGGTTGTGAACATTCCTGGGAGAGGTCGGGGATAACCCTAATGAGCCTCATCACAGGAATGACGTCAGCGGTTGATCACGTGCATTCCCTTGCCCTAAATCCATCTCGGGTCGATGCCTGTACAAGGTCACACATCGCTCGGATGATTTGACCCCCTGAGAGCATCTGCATTATTTCACTGAAGGCTTACGGGGCAAAGCGATATAGCCAATGAGAAATTTTATCTAATGTAATGTAACAGATAACAGGCACCCGCCCCCTTGACATTCTATGCCACTCGAGCACTCCCAAGAAACGCCACTATTTGGCCCAAGTGGCTTCAAACTACTCTGGACAATTTGATGTTTAGATTCACCGGCCCGAAAATAATGCCCTACTGCTCAGCTCCTATCAGTTCAATGCAGCGAGTTTTATTATAAGATGAGAATGAAGAAACCCCACTGAGGCTAGTACAGAAATAAAAACTACCAGTTATGGAAAACATTCTATTTCTTATCTCCCCAGTCCTACTGAACATCCTACATTCAACTTTTTGCGCCGTCTCTCCCTTGTTGGCGTGAGGTTGACTTTCAGGCGGCTCAACCGAAGGCTATTATTTATTTAGCCTCGCCCAACGCACGGACATATAAAAAGCTTATTCCGCGGTAGTTGAATTCAACGACACGCGACTTTGGGTCTCTTCAGTTAAAATAATGTAGAGATCGACGGTTACATCATCATTAAAGCCGGAATAACCATCTAAGGATATTTCGCAAATCTCTACCCGGAAAGCTGGGGCAAACTTTTCGGGTGAAACGGGAAGTTTCACTGAAGAAGGTGAATTACAGTCTTAACACCCCCTGTAACCGTTTTGTGGCTACTACCTACGATACTGGGTGGTTCTGTTATCTGCTCTATTGAAGAGGATGATAAGGAAATTTAGCCTTCCTTTGTTCGAGAACTTCTCATGGTGAAATTGTTGAATGTTGTTATTCCGACTCTATTTGCACCCCAATCGACTTACCCAAGTTGCTGGCTGAGAGCATCTGGAATGTTACCAGTCGCGACTTACCAGCAACGTGGACATATCTTTAGCACGCGAAATTACGAAGCGCCCATTTTGAAATTCCATTGTATTGCTGAGTAGAGTCTCTTGGGCCGGGCTCCACTACGATTTCGACGTCGACTATCTCAGCGGAGCTTCAGAATGACAGCCTTATATACGTGGCATAATCTCCCCCCAATATCCGAGGCATGGAACACAAAACAACAATTATAGGCTCTTATCTTCTCCTATGTGTAAAACTGTAATGGAACCTTGTCCACTGTTTCCCATTGGCCACTAAATTGGATATACTCCTGAGGATCTTAGTATGTCAACCCCCAGACGTGAACAAAATGCGTTAACAAAAGATGTGGGGTCTATCATATAATTCATTATTGTCGATATATATGGCATTACTGGCAATGCAAAATTTCATACCGTTAGGCAAATTCACAATAATAGTAATGAATACTAATTTCCGCATTAATTTTAGCAACTAATAAAACGGCACCCTTTCTACGCTGAATCTTAATGGGCTGCTAAAGAACATTGGCTACACCTGTAGGGTCGATTCCTCCTCCTAGCGGCATGCTATGTAGCTGAGCCCCTCCTGGTATTTGGTCCCTGAGCCTTGAAGTGAGGCGGACAGAAGATGAGAAAGACGCAAGAGAAATCCGGATAATCATTAGTGTACAGCGAACAGACAGACAGCTGATTCCCCTAAGAGACTAGGGGAAATACACCCACATCTAGATCCCAGTGCAAAACATATCAACCACACATGTTAACAAACTTATGGTGGAGCAGCAAACTTCAATGTTAATAAATTCGATTAATTCTAGCTGCGGAATCGATTAAAATTGAGGCCAATAGATCGACAAGGCTTGGGATCTCTTTAGTTGACTGCCTATTCGTGAATTACGTGCGGAGTTGAGAGCCGGGAAGAATGTTTTCCGCATATTTCTAGCGACTGGTGCACAGAGCACTTGCGTAGAAGCAGGGCAGTTGAGATCAAATTCTAAATCCGATTTATGTTGCAATGCGCTGTACTATGGGGTGTTTCTTCTCACACATATCGTTCGGCTGCTTTAATCTAGATCGTTTTGGAAGTTGCAAAATATAGGCTAGAGATGCATAAGAAGTACCTCGAGACTTTAGATACTGACTCATTCTGCGAGACGGAGACGATGGTTAATCACGGATGGAAGTTGGTGCTGCGCCAGTTCACCTTTCTTCTTGAATGCATACTCTAATAGACCATGAGGAAATCACTCTATATGCCGAGAGAACAAGACACGACATCCGAGGAGAACGGTTATGCATACCCTGCATGTTTTGCTTCTTCGCATGGCAGAGCATCCACGGAAACATTGGGAATGAGATGGTATTTCTGAAGCGGGGAAAACCTCACACCACGAGAAGACCTGCAGCGCATACTATTCGGCAGCTCTGCATCGGAACAAGCACAATAAGCAGCGTTTCTCAATTGATATTCTTCTTTTCCCACTTCAGTGTATCGTAAAAGCTGCTCTTGGTGAAGGCATAGGGGTGGAGGTGGAGAGTAATGAGGGAAGACAAAATCGTTCAATTCCACGTCCTCGTTTCTCGGGTAGAATCCATGCTTCCTCGATTGCTACCACCTGCACATATATTGTATTGCTTTTTTCCTTTCCAAGGCGCATATGTTGCCACTGGATGCAACGTTCATTTGTCCTAGAAATCCCTCAAAAGCCACACAGTCCTGATTGGAGGATCTAGTGTTCATATGTCTTGGAACTTACTTTCAGGGGCGTGAGGAGCAGGAGGATTGGAGTCAGATTTTGAAAAAGAAATTGAGGAATAGGTGTTAAAACTGCACCTAAGCATCTCCCCTTTCTTCACCCACTGAATCAGATGAATGCTCCATCTTCCAAGAGGCAAATCTAAACAAATGTACTCTTAATCTGTGCATCTCCCCAATTCGGCCTCTGAGTTTCCCACCTCTTCATAGCGGGAAAGGTAAAAGTCTATCATGTCGAAAACAAGGAATAACTTAGCGGTACCATGTATTTCCACGGGGAATAGCTCCATCAGAAATAACTTGGATGTGCAAAATATAATCGTCACTCCGGGGTTGGAGTTAGTAAGGACCGCCTGAATCAGTCATGTAGAAAGGGATGCAAGTGAAGTCACTCTCTTCACCTTTATGCATTAAAGAAATTCACACATCATTCATTGTTCAGGCAGTAATAAAACAAAGTAAAACAAATTGCCATAGCAAAAAGACCGATTTGGAGCGTATGCTGATTCCGGGAAACCTCACCTGATAAAAATCACGAAGGGGAAGAAAAAAGCGAACAGAAAGCGAAAATAAAACGACGGAAAGACAGCTGGGTCCAAAATAAGAACAAATGTTAGATGGATGGGAAGATGGGGAAATGGGAGTGGAATAAATCTTGGTAGCCATCGCCTCCATTTCGTGTCGATCGCGCACTAAGATTTTCCTGTCATTGTATACGGGACTTTGAAACTTTCTGAAAACTCGATATTCATGTTTTGATCTGTTTCTTTTTACTTCCTTTCCTTTCTCTTCGGCTTTTGGTCATTGCTAATCACACTACTGGTGTAGAGGACTTGAATAGTCTCCCTTCGCGGTGGGTAGGATGGGGAGGGTTGAGGTTATTAGGACAAGTGAGGCAAGCAATAACAGCGACGAGAATCCGGTGCAATCATATTTGATTCAATAGTTGGAGAGGGATGATAGGATCTCTTACTAGTCAAATATAATTTTCCTGTCAGAGTTATTTTTTTTTCCGATATTCTCTCCTTCAGCGACGGCACTGACGGGGCGTGTTAAGTCTCAGTGGAGGATTTAGCCCGAAGATATATGGCATACAGGGATATGGGACGCAATTGGAACAAGGACACGGGTAGTTCTGTTTTGTCAGTGCAGTGGTTTACCTTCACTCCCTTCAAAGCCGTCTCCCTCCAACGGATTGCCACAGTTAGCTTCTGTGGATGGAACGGCAATGGGGGGACTGAAAGACCTTTTTGCCGCCGTAAAAGAAAGGCTGGGTTTCTGTATTGGAGTTTAGCCATACTATATTGATACATAAGGATAACAAGAAGAGCTCTCTATATCATATAGGTAAAAACAAGAATAAAGAGAATTCCTTTCTGTGTAAAAAAGTACTATTTTTACACATCAGAACTATACTCATAGAGGTCATTTGTATCATGAAATCAATCACTCTTGAGGCGGGACGTATGGGTGTACAAGCATATCGCTAAATCTAGATCATTAGAAAAAGGGGCACTCGTTAGTAAATGCTTCAACTGTTCTACCTCCCCACACTAGAAGAGATAGATGCCTAAAGACTGTTGCAACTTACTTCTCAAGCTTCTCCTTCCCCCTAACCTCCTCCACCAACATCGGCATCCGCACCACATTAAAATCCTCATACAACTCTTCAATCTCATTCAAATATTTCTTCTGCATCTTCCTCCGCGCCTTACATTGCTCGCACGAACTATCCTTACCCGGGAAAAGCAACTGATTAACAACAATACAGTGCGTATCGATGTGATAACTCGTCAGCTCCTGGATCATTCGCTCCGTCTCATACAGTGACAGAAACTCCGCGATGCACACACAGACAAAAGTGGTCAGGTCAGCATCTTTGAACTGCGCATTTACTTCTGCAATGGTTTCTCGCAGTGATTCCATTTTGGAGAGGATCTCGTCCAGATTTTGGCCGCCGGGCAGACCGCCTCGGCCGCCTAGGATGGAGTTTAGCATCGGGCCGAACTGGGTTGATAATTGCGCCAGTTTGGCGAGGGCCTTTTCGAGGACGGTGGGGAATTGG